ATGATGTTGCTAAAAAGAACATTATTTTGTGTATTTGGTGTAATGAAATGTGTTTATGTGGTTTAAGGTAAAAAAAAACACATTATTTTCCACATACTGTACATTATTGTTTCTCCTCTATGCCCCGCCTTTCTGAAACGCATCGATTTTTATAAAGTTCATGGTCTGAAAAGCGAGGTGTGCTCTGATTGGCCAGCTATCCAGTGCATTATGATTGGCCGAATACCTCAAGCGTGTGACGGAAATGTTACGCCCCTTGCCATATTGTGATACCTTGTCCCGGCCGGAGCGACAAGACAAAAACATTAAAACCCATTATGAATGAGGCATTTGTTGCATCCAGTGGGGACATAATTACTGATTATAATTACTTATACTGTCTTTTTACGCGTTGCATTGCATCGCGCCGCGTAAACATAAAACCATGTCTGCATTTGTGATCATAGAAATGACAAACAAGCGCTACTCTACACTGCTCAAAACTCGCTTTTGAATCATCAGTGGCAAATTCTTTAAATATGAAAAACGTACTTACAGTCTGTGAGTCAGAACAGCTGGCATTGTAGTCTACTCTACCAGGATCAGGAAACAGTCCTCCATAAAATGCGCTGGACACATCGGAATATTTGGGTTGAACTGTTCTGGAACAGTGTTGTAAATACAACTTAACCACTGATTTCCAGTCGTGTCCTTTTTTGGAAGACCAAACAAAGTAGTTTCGCTTTTACAACGAAACACAGTGTCTCACACACAGCGGGCTAGAGTGAGCGAAGGCCGGGGGCCAGAGTGAGTGCGGACGGTGGCCTAGAGTGAGCGGAGGCCGGCTTGAGTGAGCAGCGGCCGGAGGGCTTGAGAAAGGTGCGGCGGGTGGGCTTGGGGCAACCACATGTGACGACCACAGGCTGGACTCTGCTTCGTCCATGGTGAAAGCCGATCCGGCGATCCGCAACGCGTAGTTGATGTATTCCCTCAGCGACCAGCACGAATCGGCTCTAGGCATGACGAAGCGGATATAGTCCTCTTTTGGAAGGCCATACAAAGTAGTATCGCTTTCACAACGAAACACACAGCGCCTTCACGACATGGCGGCAACAACAATACTACAGCGAGAATACTACAGCCTTCTTTCTTTACGTGAACATTTGAGCGGCGTTATGCAAATCTTCCCACATCGTGACGTAGACATGTGGGGGTGTATTAGAACGAGCCATTTTAGGTAGGTGTGGTTGACTTTTATAAAGAATATCTCTTTGGATTTGAGACTTCAGTCTTTGCAACTTTACAGATCTTCTTGATGCACCAATAGCTTGTAACACTCCAAAGAGAAAGGAAAAATTGAAATCGCATCATATGACCCCTTTAAAGCCATTGTCGTGTAAAGCATCCAACAGACATTACAAAAAGTAGCTTCAGAAAGAAATATTTTGTTTGATAAAATTTATTACATATAGTCTTTTGGACCATGAGGGTGAGCAAATGATGACACAGTTGTCATATTTTGGTGGGTGAACTATACCTTTAATAATTTATTTTATTATTATTACTATGGAAATATGAAATTATTTCTTTAATAAAATGATACTCTAAACAATAAACTAAAACTGCTAGTAGGTGGTGGTAATTGTCTTAATGATTAATTCATTGAGTAATTTATTCATTCATTTGATTAAATGGCTGATTCATTCAGGAGTGAAGTAAATGGTTCTCATTATGAATGGTCCATTGAAGCGGATCATCATCATCAGACCAATCAGTGTGTGACATCAAAGTACCGCGAGAGCTATAGAGAGCAGACGGCTCCTTATGCTTTTGAATCACTCTCGCGGTCCTTTGATGTCATACGCTAGTCGATCTGTGCAGCGCCACTTTAAAACCAACGCGCCAATGGTTCAACAAGCCAAATGATTCACCCAATTCGTTCAAAACGTCCATTAAGAAATGAAATGCCGCTGTGTGTTGCTCTGAGATGAACAGTTCTGCTTTGTCTTTATAATTTTGTTGGCAAAATTGATCAAAACAGACAACATTGTGTCTAAAATAACACAGTATTAACTTCTTATTTACTGAACTGTTGTATAAGATCAGTATCAAGTTTGTACTCGCGTGATATTGCACTTATTGCTCGTGTGTTATTGCTTAACTATATGATGTAAATATGAGACGAAAACTCAAACAGGCATTTTTGCCCCATATAGGGACATTCTAACAATGTTCTCTAGGCTCCATCACGCAGTGAGTTGTTGCCCAGTCCCCTGCCTCATATTTGTCATCAATCAACTGCATGAAATGTCAGATGACCCACGTGGGTCTGGGGCGGGGCACGTGCATTAAATGCATTAATAATTTTAACACGTTATTTTTCACCATAATTCATTAATCTAATTAACGCGTTAAATTACCTGCCCTAAAAAATATATATATATATATATA